GTTTTGTCAGGGTTCCACTATAGTTTTGGATCAAATTAAGTTGTTTTCCTGTCATAGCAGACACATGGTGTCTTATTTTCTTTTAGAAGATATACTGTAATTACTGGAGGAAGTCTGACAAAGGAAAGAAAAAGTTTGAATCTTAATATTAATCTATCATGCATTAAAATTGTCCAATTTCACAATCATACATTGTAATAAGTGCGGTATTTAAATTTTGATAAAATAACAGTTTTTCAAACATGGTGATTTTTTTCAAACAAAACTGATTTACTTTGCCCATCCAAACACTTTTTCCTTTTACCTGTCAGTTATTTGGATCAATGTTTACTTCCCCAAAGGATCAAAAGATTTGAGTTTCAACTATGAGAAATTCAATAACAACTAATCAATTGTTATTGGGCATGCAGGTTTAATTTTGATGAAGCTGAAGCATTTTTTCACTTTCACCTATTTAACAGACATTTTATCCTGCTTTGACTCACAGCTGCTTCTGCATGTGGACTGATTGTCATGACCTTCAAATTCGAGATCTTGTTAAGGAGCTCTTCAAACTCCTCACATGTCATCTCATTATAACTTTGAGGCATTGCTCCAAGATCTGTGATTATAGGTCCCTGCATGATAATAACCAAAATTGCATCTTACACATGAGATTTTCAGAAGTTTACCTGTGTTTTCAAAATTCTTGTGAAATTTGACATTCATTTTCTTGGGCTCCCATGAGAAATTTTCTTTGGTGTTATTAGATGACTAATTACATCTTTAGGCCTTGGAAAATGTAAAAAATAATGCAATATTCTTTAAATTATTGTGGTACAAAATTTTGATCCACTGAGAATTAAAATTGCTCAGTTTCCTGGTGGATTCTGCCTTAATTTTTTCCTTCAAAGAGGCTGCCTAGATTGAGAGACAAGTTTGAATGACCAATTACAACACTACATGTAGGACTACACTGACTGTAACTTTATCCTTGAAAAACACATATTCTTCCCCATTTTGTATAAAACAGAAAATAACGAGGAATTAAGACAAAAAATGACAAAACATAACCTTATTGTTTTAATAAACCTGTTGTGCCCCACCTCACAGTGAATACCCTCCAACACAGCACCTTTGCCATCAATGCATCCAACTTGACTGTCCAATATTTTTAGTAAGCTGTCCATTTTACTGCCCAGAGGATGGTCTGAAAAAACAACTGTAGCTAAAAATGATGTTGTTCCATTTTGCACAAGTTTGGCTCTTGTGAATCCTACAAAATATATAACATGCAAAAATATGAGGTCAAAACATAACATTGAATTGCATCACCTCATCTCAAAGGAGCAGTGGTGTATGTGTATATAAGAAGGTCAATAAATAAATAAACACAGGTTCCCAATCACTGAAACAACGGCACATGATAAAAGAGGCTACTTCACTTCACATCACTGAACAAATTAAATATGACAGAAACCACCCCTAAATCTCCTCCTGGTTAATTAACTACAGGTATCATTAACTAGTTAATGATTTCTCTACGAAAAGTGTCTTTACAGAGAAGATTGGTAAAAAAGATTAATGAGATTAAGACTGCGGGCCAGATTGAAATGTTTTAAAATATAACGTACAAAATGCTAGTACTTAAGATGAACCTCACAACTGATCATGAACAAAGAGCATCATACTGGGTGTAACTGAAATATTACTACATTATACACTTAATGTCAGATCGTGAGGGAAACAGTTAGTTTTGTTTTCCCAAGAGTCCCGGGACGAAGTTGAGGGAAAAATCAGGACTTGAGGGAAAACAAAACTAACTGGTTTCCCAAGGGACCTGACATTAAGTGTTTTGTTATATTTCTAGACTTTCACTTCAATGTACTTCAACAGCAATCAAAAGAATACGCTTATTATAAGCAGAGTGAATCAAAAAAGTTGACTCAGTACTTTTAAGAACACAAATTTAATTGTCAGAACCACTGAATGAATGATTTGCAAAGTACTTCCCTTAGAACATCTGCATCTTTTTCCTCCACTAGCTGCTGTTTCTCTTCTGGGATAATTTTGAAAATCGTTGTTTTTAGCTTGAGGCTTTGTGCTTGTGTTGTTGTGTTCATTCACAAAAAAGGAAAGTGGCAGTGTTTTTCCCACCTTCTGTCACGCCACTTTCGTCCATGCCTTGATCACGTGCTGTAATGCATCCTGAGTGGGGTACATTGCTTAATGTATCACGATCGGGATACATTTGATTTTAGTCAAGGCCATGTGACCAAGCATCAGCCAATGGCTGTCCCTGTTTAGTTGAGTGAAAGTCTAGGAACATAACAATGTATTTTATTTATTACTGATTAAGAATCAAGGTACACTGACTCAATGGAGTTAAACTTTAATGCATCAGTCAATTCCAGCTGCGCCCAGCACCACCCAGCAGCCCACCCCCTCCCCCCCACCATTGATCCCCAGGCATCAGCATTTTTTTGGCCTAGGATGGAATTGACACTGATGCATACAATGTTCTCTCCATGCAGACAATACATGTAACCTTGGCAAGTGTCAAAAAGTGAATGTCTTGTTATTAAGGACAGTCATATTTTACACACACATTCACTGGCAACTACATGTAGCTAATGGTAGTTTAAAAATAACACTTAAGATAAACGTACCTGGATTTTTCCAAAACTCTGCGACATCATCCGCTCCACCTGTTAATCATAAATTAATAATTATAACTAAAAATACGTGAATCGCAGGACCTCGTGAAGCACTTCAGGGGAACAAGAAGAAGTAAGAAGAAAGGGAAATAGGGAAGAAAATTAATTTTAATAAAACTTTTGCTATATATAAAGAAACAAAACAAAACTACAATAACCAAAAAAAAAAAACTAAACAAAAAGGAAAAAAAAAAGGCAGAGAAAAAGAAATATAAGTTCCGCCAGGAATTGAACTCAAGAGCTCCTATTGCCCAGCCATTTTTTATTTATTTGTAAAGTGCTCAATATGAGCTTTATTATGTTCAAGTGAGGTAAATTACGGTAAAGTATACTAGTGTTGTATTCTTTTACATGAGGTTATATTCATTCAAAGCATGTAAGGTTCCTTAGAGTTCAAGGTATGGTTTGTGGCAACATGCTATATGTGTTGTGTGATAAATTATATGTTCTTTAGAGCATTTTGCCAGCACTCCCTGTATAATACTGATCGAGCCCCATTAAACATGAATTCATAGATAATTTTCAGGAGAATGACTGGTGTTTTGACAGTAAAAAGCCCAACTTTAATAAACTCATTTCATCGCATGTAAAGAACTGATGCCCAACTAAGCTGATATGATATGGACTGGGATGCAAAACATGTATTTTGTTCAGGGTTTTCATTAAGAATTCTAGTAGCTGCAGAAAGGTTTAACATTACAGGAGAATATTTTGAAACAGGCTCCATGTGATTGTCTGAGTAAAAATTAGTCATTGGCTATCGAACGTTAGCTCACCTACGATCCTTGTGGGATCAGTCATGTGCAATGCAAATTCCGACAAAATTAGAAAATCACTTCAAGAGGAAATTATTGCATGATTGATATCAGGGTGCAAAGAAAATCATTTTTACAGCTTGCCATTCGGGCAAGCTGAAGCTAGCATTTACTAGCCCACACCTCATTTCAACTAGCCCCTAACACTTTTTGACTAGCAGAATTGATTTCACAGTTCTTCTGTTATTTGAATTCCTCAAAAAACATTACATGCCTGTGGGGCAAGTTAAAAACAGAATTCACTAGCCCAATAGCAAAATCCACCAGCCCTGGGCTATCGGACACTACTTTCTTTGCATGCTGGATATATAAGGACACTGATCATCAGCATCTTTCCCAGGGACAACCGATAGGCCGCACTTGACATTGTAATTTTGATACATTTAATTTACTACTTTCTTACACAGGTGGAGATCTGGTGGTAAAAATATAAAAACTTTATAATATGGGTTTGAATCCCATTCAAGACTAATTTTTTTTTCCGGGTTACTTTTTACAACTGCCAAAGTTGTTTGATCTTTCACTTGTCAAATCTTCCCTCCCAAAACTTTGTGAAAATAATTTCCCACATTCATGTATAAATACGTAATGTTCTTGTGTGGATAGAGATGAATGCAAAAGGTTGAAGGAGTTTACAAACTTAAACAGCAGACACCTACAGACACCATGGGGGTGGGGGTGGGGGTGAACTTGGAAAAAAATTAGGTGAGATCATTTTTTTTCCACAGAGGTCTTCCACCCCCCCACCCCCTACCCACATGTGTTGCTACCTCACCTCAGATTAAGAGATAAATGGTACACACTAGTTGCAACTGAAAAGGATGCTTTTAATATGCCTTTTCTTCCCATAACAAACTTTTTTGTTTATGTATATTTTTGCATGACTGTTAAACAGAAAGACCAAAATTTGTCATAAATAAAAGTGGAAAGGTAAACCTCATTAAGTGACCTCATGGATCAAAACTGGAACCCTATAAAATGACGCTAGAATTAAGAGTAACTTTGCTGATTCATTGTCAATTAACGATTACATGTAAAGTCACTCACCCATTCCATGGTTGTGAATATCAATAAAACCAGGAGTAAGAAACTCACAAGTTAAGTGTTCATTGCATTTCCCTGTGCATTTATCAATAGCTTCAATAAAACCTCCATTCACAATAACGTGAAATGGTCCTTCTTCGCATTCTCCGTGAGGAAAAACAACGTTTTGTGCACAAATCAAAGCAGCAATTTCGGCTGTCATTTGAGGTCATTCAAGGGTACAGAGATCTGGTAGCGAGAGTGGACTTTGATACCAGATGCGAATAGCATTGTGGGTAGAGCGTTACGTTGACAAGAGCGCGTGCGCAAATTGGCGAAAACCCCGGTAGAATTTACAACGGGGGAAGAAGTGATAGTGCGGTAATCTTGACTGGAGTTTTCCACGATATCACAATGCTTTCTTCAGCTGTTAGGGTGGGATTGAGCCGGGTGTCGGTCGCTACCAAGAGATGCCTTCTACCAACAATCAACGCAGGTACTACTTTCAGATTGTTTTTTTTTTGTGTACAACACTGCGCTTTTCGTGGCTGAAAGTTTCACGTGGAACTTGCAGTGATGTTAAGTTTTACATCAGTATAATATTGTTGTTCTATTTGTGAAGTTATTGTTTTTGAAGTTTCTTATTTGCTCTTAACTCTATAATTTCACATATAAATAATGACTCTAAAACTACGCATAAAATCTGTTAGTTTGGAATTGACAAGAATTTATCTTAACTTATTTTACAACAGTACGAAGGTCACGCAAATATTTTAAAACGAGGAAACAGAGGAATATGACAACCACACCGCCAACCCACCCCCTTCGTAGTTAAAAGCCTTTAAACCCTGGCATGGCTTTTAAAGTTATGCGCCGTTTCTAAGAAAGTATGGGCTATTTTGCTACCGCGGTGGGCCTGAAGAAAAGATATATGGGTACTTTTGTAACTTTTTATAGTTTTCATCAATTTATCTGAATTTACAGAGTACAATGTATCAGCTAAATTTCAGAATACCTGGCCACTTCTTTGCATATCATTGAATAACAAAAGTGCCTATTGTTTTATACCTCGTTCTTTAAGCATTCCGACAAATGTAAATGATGTGGCCGGGTGTTCTGAAATTGCTCCTATTATGTATCTTCCTGTTTTCTGCCTCAGGACTATCTTGGACCCTAGAAGAACTGTTTTAATAGGCCATTTTTTGTACTTATTATGCATGACACATGGCTTTCCCAATCACAGATAATTTATTAATATTATTATTACTATTATCATCATCATTAGTAGTCTGTTGTAGCGGTGTATCATACATGTTATTTTGTTTGTTTACATACATGTTCATGTACTGTACTGTGTCTAACTGGGCAACAGTGAACAAATTATCTTCCATAGTCTTGCGATGCATGTTGTTGTTGTTTTCTAGGTACAAACTTCGTTCGGTCCAACCAAACAGCAGCAGGTGCGGAACATTTGAATTATTTGCATAGTTATATAACTATTATTCATGCTATACACTTTATTTCAAAATTATGGCAAATTCAGTCATTCTTTTTTCTTTTTGATAATAATTTGCCCCTTGATGTGCACTTTCAAGGTAATCTGCACAGGCATCCCAAACAGACTAAGTGAGCGCTTGTTAAAATTAATACATCTGGCAATGTTGCGTATGTGACAAAGCGATTTATAGGCAACTTTTTGTGAAATTTCTGCTGTTCCCATATGAACCCTATAAATCGCTTGGTTACACAACATTTCCAGATGTATTAATTTTTAACAAGTGCTTGCTTAATTAGTGAGTTTGGGATGCCTGTGTGTTCTGCAGATGCAATAATGACACAGAGGACTAATTAACTAAAACACAAAAGAAAGGTAATATTGTCACATTTTGAAATAAGGTGTATAATTGTGTGGCATGGATTGTGCATGTACATTACTAATTCAGAACTTGTACCTTTACACATTCACACCTTCACCACCCTTAACCCGTGGGAGTGGATGTGTACTGCTAGCTGCGAGTCGCCAAGGTTTCAAATACTGCACATGGTTTATTTCATCCAAAATGTACAGAAATACAGAAGATATAAAGAATTCGAAATCTACGTAGAGATATCAACAGGAACTACAATCAGTCAAGAAATGTTAAAGTAAACCGTAAATAAGAATAATATTTACGTACCCGTTGGTGTCTCTCAAGTTTCGCAACTAGTAGTAATGATCTTACTAATCAACGATTGTTACGTCATGTCATTAGTCGTGATTATATCACGCATGAATTTCGTGTTATACCGAAACATTCCTTGTTCCACCTGTGATGTTATTCATTTATTGGTCCTAGACATTTTAACTTCTTCCTCTATGTAGAGTTGACCTGGAAATTTCAATGCAAATCTTGTTTAGCCTGAATTTCATATGATTGCTTCAAGTCATTTTCTCCTCTCAGCAATGTCTGAATCGACTGGCTGTTTATGCCGTCCAGCGACATCACTACTCAAAACCGGGGTAGTGATTTTGATTGGTTGATTGTCTAAACATTCGCATAATTACATGTATGTACTGATAATTATGAGAAATTTTAGCGGGATTGTCGTTTGATATTCAGCAGATTGGATCCCTGGCATGCTTGCTTGGAGTTCAAACATTTGGTAATCTTTATCATAAACAGCAAAATTGAATTGCTAAATATTTAACTACATTTGAAGAATCATTGCGTAGAGTCAGTAGGTTTTTCCTTTAGAGCCACTTTGTGGTTTCGGCAGTGATTTTTTTTATGCAAAGTTTTCTGAGATTGAAGTTATAATTCAACCCTCTTGTTATTTCCACCGTGAAGTGTTATGATTCTGTTAGCTTTTTTCGTTGTTAAGGACCAAATATCTTCTTTTCAATTAAAGCAAATCGTTGTGTTCTTAAACTTAGTGTTCCATGTGTGTATTTATTTCATTGCTTGATTGTGATCGAGTTTGATTATTGAATTATGACTGGTTCACAGTACTGCATGCAGTTGACTGTTTGAACGTTAAACATGAATTATGATCAAAAGAGTAAAGCAATTCTGTATCATGTTATATCATATTATGTCAGAAAGTTGGGAAGCTAAGAGCTTTTTCCTTTTTTCAGTTGTCCTGTCGAATGCTAAATTACATGTAACCAAATTTAGCACCGCTGGACATAAAGACATATCTAGAGTGCATTTTGCATACTACATTTCTGATAATCTCAAAGTGGTGGCAATTATGCCAGACTTATGTATTGGTACGAAATCATGATCATGTGATAAGAATTACGTGTTTACCATAAGTTTTATTTGCATATTCTAGGTCAAGAGCAATTTGTTAAATACCATGTCAAAGATGGTGTTGCTGTAGTTAGGTTGGATACTCCTGGATCTAAGGTTAGAAGCCTTCATCAGTTTCTGTTTAAGCTCCTGCAAAATGCCAAACCTGTGCCTAGAAAAATGGCACAGTAATTAAGTTCTGATCAACTGCTTGATTCTGCTTTCAAATGGACCATTTTCGATATATTAAAATTCATTCTTGGCTCTGAGGCTTGGGGAAATAAAACAAAAGAAATGTATTATTCATTGTTGAGCACCCTCAAGTATGAGTTTTAATGTAACAAAAATGGTTTATTGATTTGCTGGAAATTGGAGGTGTGACTGATGAGTATACTGAAATTTACATCTGCTGACCATTAGTTTCATGTATCTAGAAAAGGGTAAAGATGGGGGTGGGGTGGGGTGGGGGTCTTGTTTCACTCACAGAAATACACTGTATTCTAAGACAAAAATAGTGGGAGCTACAATGATGTTGAACATAGTCATGTACAGTTCATAAAATAATTTCCTGTTTAGTAGAATTTCTTCAAAACACCAACCAGTACAAAAGATATTAGCTCTTGAAAATGTCCAACAGGTGTCCATTTATAAAATTTTAGTAACAGTATTTGTTGCTAAGTTTTAGATTTGAAATTTATTATTCTTTTTTGTTTGTGTGGTTTAGGTCAATGTCTTATCTGAGAAGCTTATGTCAGAAGTTGTTGAGGTAAAAAGATACTTAACTGTAAATTGACAGTCAATGATGTAAATTTGTAAGTGTCATATTGAAACTAGGTATTATTTTATTCCTTTACATTGTATATGATCTACCATAAAATCTTCGTTATAGCAGTGTAAGCCACACTCACTTTCAACCTTGATTTTGGAAAAAAATTTACAAGAATGAAACTCAAAAAAGAACTGAGGTTGACAATTTTTGTGGTGACCTTTATTGTGAACAACTTCAACCCATGATGTTCCGTGACAGGGATTGTAACCTTGGCCACAATAGTGGGAGGGGACTGCACCCATCACTCACCACTGCACCTACTAACTGATCCCCAATATATTAACAAATGAATTTTTTATTGATTTTGCCAGGTAATGCGAGCTGTCGAGTCAGACCCTGAAGTGAAGAGTGTTGTGTTGGCATCAGCTAAACCAGGATGTTGGATTGCTGGTGCTGATATCAAGTAAGAAAAAATGTGATTTTTTTTCTTTTTTTTCGTGATTTTGAAGTTATGTTCCTTCACTCTGTTTGGAAGTAAGAAAACATCAAGTGGAGTGAGCTCCGGAAATCACTTGTTTAAACATGATATTGGATCATAACATCCTTGTCCCTGGTTGACAAAAAAAAATTGGATATTCAGTGTTGAGTATTCCAGTAGTTTTTACGAATGTTTTCCAAACATGTTATGCTAGTAAAATTAATTAAAAATACATGTACATGTAATCTTTACTCCTAGAACTACTTGCCTCTTATGGGATGTTAGTTGTCTATGACACCCTAACTGTCCTGTTCAACCCTTTTAAATGTATCTGACCTCCCATCAAATGATGAACCTATATTCCTATTTTTTCTTAAAAGTTAATTGTGCTTTTTTTGTTTATTATTTTTTAGTATGTTAGCCGCTGGTGATACTGCAAAGAAGGTGATTTTAAAAGTCGGAGAGTTAATTAATATTTTTATTACTAGTAAGAGAGCTGCTCTATGTATTAATTATTATGATAACAAGAATGCCCCAGTCACTTTTGTTAATAGTACAGGGGCTCTGACAGGGTTAATTTTTGTACAGGAATTGTGTGGGATTGGGCATTGTTTCTGAAACACAAAGTGGTCATATCAACAGATTACAAACTATGCATACCATGCCAATAGTAAGGTTAACTTATTGACTGATGTTTTATTGTGTTGATT